ATGTTACTCACTGTTCTTTCTGTGTTCGCCAGATAAAGGTTGTGCTCCTCTCACTTCTCTCTCTCGCAAACCTTATCCACTGAACCACCAAGCCATTTGGCGTAAAAGGGTTAAACTAACCCTTAGTCTCACAGCACCCGCAACAGTAACCTTGGTTATCATATTCAAATCAGTTACCCAAGCGAGATAGTCGCATGTTGAGCCGAAAGCAGAGGTGCGCGGAAAAAAATTACTTTCTTATCGGTGGGACTTTGAAGCGAGAACCTGGCACCTTGTAAGAAGCACCTCCTCAGCAATGCGAATACCACATGTGGCGAGGAGAGCACGCTGAAAGATATGGATCTCGATCAGGGATTGCAACCGTACCAGCATAGTCATCGAACTAGGGGCCTCTATTACCACCTACTAATTATCACTCTTTGGTCCCTACTGCATGCTACAGGAAGAAAAAATTTTCATTAACACCTGCTCGAAAATGAGGTCCAGCTTTTCATTTCATCGCAGTTGCCGCAGTTCCAAAAGAGTGGAAACGAAAAGCAGTGCGAAAAGTGGGCACTGATCCTAGTTGATCACACAGCATCATCAGCACTCATCCTGTGAAGCAGCGAATTCGCATTCATTCACTGTCTTAGCCAATTAAGAGTTAATCACTGTTTCTGTAGTTCGTTGGGAGACGACTTCCAACGAACACCAGCAGCGCTCAAAAGCAAAATCACAATCAGATGACCTCTACAACAACTGAAGTAAAACCTACTGCTAAATCGAGTGCCCGTATTCATTTCTGCTATTAATGATCAGCACGTCTAATGATAGAAACCGTTGACCTTAGAGCTATTCGAAGGAGGTAGAGAATACTGAAAGTAGTACACCAGTTTATATTACCGAAGATTAGATAAAAGTGGTAGAGCGAGGTGAGAACGTCAAAGGACTTATGGAAGCAAATTCAACATAGAGGAAACAACTTTTCTTACTATCTGCAAGTTCCTTGACCTCATAAGAGATTCTGTTATTCTGTAGCCAATACCAAAAGCGTGGTCGTAGCTGACTAAATAGACTGAAGAAAACAGAGGATCGGGAAAGCAATGAGGTTACGAATCTGAGATTCAATGATTCGCCGATAGTAGGAAACTCTTACATGCGAACAAGTGAGAAAAGTGTGAGTAGAAAAAAAGCATGTAATCCGCCTCAGGAGGGAGTGGCGTTTTGCTGGTTTCTCCGTTTCAACCTCGCTGAAAGCTGCGAACCCTTGTGAAGCTAAGAAATGGAGGAAACTTCAGAACTGCTTCGACGAGATACAAAAACAAGTGTAAACTTAAGAAATGGTGCGAGGCTTCATTATGTGTGAGTGTTGTTTCGGTATACAAGGACGGCACTTGTACTCCGAACTTTTACTGATAACGTTTCGGGCCTAAGCCCTTCTTCAGATCAGTACTGAAAACTAGCACATATACAACACAACACAAATATAGAGAACATTGTTGAACAAGGACAAGGTCATCTTACCGGAAATCGTTCTAGGAACTTGGAAGGCAGGACGGGAGGGGATTGCCAGCTTACGGGGGCATTGGCGAATAAATGGGGAAGAGGGTCGCGAGGGATTCAAATAGGGGATGGATCGGGAATGATTTTTGTGAAGTTCTAATACGAATATGAAAATTTCCCTTCCGTCTCCTATTTGCATCCTCGCAACCCTCTTTCCCATTTATTCGCCAATGCCCCTGTGGGCTGGCCATCCCCTTCCCGTCCTGCCTTCCAAGTTCCGTAGAACGATTTCCGGTAAGATGACCTTGTCCTTGTTCAACAATGTTCTCTATATTTGTGTTGTGTTGTATATGTGCTAGTTTTCAGTGTTGATTTGAAAAACTGCTTAGCCGAAACATTATCAGTAAATGTTTGGAAAACAAGAGCTGTCATCATATACCTAAACAAGATTCGTAAGGATGAAGTAAGGGAAACACGTGGGTGTACTGGCATCACATGACTGCACAAATCTTCACAAAGTACAAGGTTCGTCGCTGAGCACCATTTCTTAGCCCTACAGCAGTATACAGCCTCCACGTCGACGAGAACTAGTAAGATAACCCCTACGTGAAGCCTAGAGAACAGCGCAGAAAAAATGAAGTGAATAAATGAGGAAAGGCGTTTTGAATGTTTTTCAAAAGAACAGAAAGCAAAAAAAAATCATGCGGGCCTACTGTTCTATTACGGACGTTTGATGAGCTTAAACGAGTTCTGATGGCGACTTATTGGCGCCTTTTCTTGCGTTCATATCTTGCGAAACTGGAGAATCGAAGTCAGCGGATCGGAGGTTAGCGAATAGGCGAAAAAAGCACAATTCTAGATTGTCTGGATTCAGAGAATCAGAGACCTGACGAGTCGCGAAACTGGGAGAATAGGCGAGTTGAAGATTCGACGGACCGCGAGAAATGCAGTGAGAACGGAAAAGATTAAATACGAGTTTATAAGGTTTGCATAATCTGATTCTCCAGTTCGATGGGCATTTACCTGCAAGCGCGAAGCGTGCAGCATCCACCGAAACTTCCCACCGATTAAAACTAGGGAAATCAATGCCTACATTCCTCCTTGCGGTTTCTCCTATTCTTGGGACTCCTCGACTAGCCAGCCAATCCTCCAGGTTCGCAAAATATGAACGATCTAGAGCGATCGCTGACGTGCAACGGTCAATTCAAAAGACTCCTACTTGGCAGCAGACCATCGAATAGAAGCACCAATTTTAGAATACTCTTCACGTCTACTTCTATGTACCAACCCGATGACTGTTCTCTGACTCAACAGTGTGAAAAGCATGATAAGCTATTGAAATCTAAAATACGCAGTTCCTCCATAACAGTCGCATAAGAGCTAATTCACTTATTATGTTCGTATAGCATTAACGCTTGGCCGCATATACTAGTAATCGTGAAGTGAGAAGAGTCAGAAAACCCATGAACCATATCCAACATCTTTTTCGAAGTGTGAATAGCATAATCAGCGCCGAGTTGCGTGTGATTACGTACGCGCGGAGAGTACCGTACTACGCCTAACTTATTAACGTATTGGCGACAGCGCACGTTCTTCTATTTGCAAAAATATTGTGACGCAAGGAGGCTGCCCCCCCCCCTCCAAAGCAGTAGTAGGATGGCTAGAACTCAACTATTAGAAGCTAAAAGCTATTAAAAGTTCGTTGCTTTCGATTACCTCCCATAAACCAGAAATCTCATGAAATTGTTCCACACCTGCACCCGGAACGCGGGTCGATAAAAGGGATTCGATATAGGCATCACGCTGACAGAAGTTGCAGCGGTGCAATAATTGAATGCTGGTGAAGTATCATGTACATATTAGAAAAATAAGCTCCAAGCTTTTATCTAAAAAGAACAATTCCATCTCCTCCCTTTCAAATTACTTAGAAATCTGCACGGATTACAATAAGGCCTACAATATCTTACTTGTCAATATTCGGCTGTTGCGAATTTAAACTATGTCCCTTCTCGGCATGTCCAACGCATCACTGCTGACTGTACGCCCGACTTTGAACTCCAGCGATCCTGTAGTGTAGAATTGCTGCAGTCTTCAATCGACACTTTTTGACGGACTTTAAATCTTGTGCAACATGCACGCTGTTAAAATGCAATCAGTCGTGCTCACAAATCCCACCAAGCTGAATGTATGAATGTGAATGCCACTTATTGCCTATGTTCGAGCAGCAATAACGCTGTTTCTGTGAGCCCGTAATCAGTATTTTCCTCAGGTCCAGGTCGAACAAATGGCAGTCAATCAGTACAACTTCTGCGTGCTGAAACCACTGGAGTTTGATATGAGGCAATCCACGATCGTGCCCATTCCAGCTTGTTCCTCAATAGAGACGGTACCTCCGTTCAACATGCAATCCTTCCAGTCGAGAGGTTCCCTTTCATGATCAACACAACCAGGTGTGTGGCGACGCTACAATGGTCCCATATGGTCTAGTCTTGCTGTACATGCAGTCTCTCTACATAACAATTCGACATCAGCCCGTCGTCTGAATAGCTCATCGTCAAATATATGACAAGCAGAACCTTGCACTGTAAATTTTTTTAAAGGCGGTTTTTTTACCCACGTCCATTCGATCTGCAGATGCCTTTTTTGACCCGGTAGTCCTGTTTGCAAGCATGGAGGACGTACTATTACCGTAGGTAGAATTCGCAGCTATTAGAAAAATGCGTGGAGAAAGCGTAAACAGCTCGCGACGATGCCACAGTCCCGCGCACTGATCAAGGCAACGCCCATTTCTACATATTTCTTGCAACTGCAGTAATTCGTCCGACCACGCCCTTTCTTCATCTCATGCATGTGTAAGGCTGACACATAATGGGGTTCTTTACTGTTTTTCACTGATGTGTTTATTACCACCCTGTCACTAGAAGTTCAGTGGAATAGCTCGCCATTTTCTACGACGAGTGCCCTTAAACATTCAACAACACAAGCAAAAGGTAGCTCGTTTGGGAGTATTAGAGACCGAACTACATTGGAAACACATGGACAAGTCTTTGAAGGGTGCTATTCCTGTGACGGCACCAACCAGTGGCTTGCTGCCACACACTTTAGAAGACTGACCAACTACTCGGTACTTTCAAACGCACTATCGATTTCGATAATGACAACAATTTAACCGATTTCGAAAAGCAGTTGACGACATCAATCCTGGACACAAGGTACCCAGAGGGAAAGAATCGAAAGACTGAGAGAAGACTTCAAATAGTAATCTTTATTCACTATTCTTTCATAACTAGATGTGACAAATGACTATTGCAGTTAAAAAACGGGCAATACATGATTACCAATTCGGCGAGTCACTTAGCAGATATACATAAGTACGCAGATTGGTGCTTGACAAAGAAAGACCCTATCACAAATAAGTATAGGGAACCAGGGAATGTGTCTCAAAGTGGGTTTTCCGGGTAAACAGTCTGACAGTTTGAATTCAGTAAAATTCTTCATACAGAGTAGGATGGAAAACATTAAGAGAATTGGCCATGAAGCTTCTTCTGAAGAATAAGATTATGATGCAATTCTGGTTTAATATCACAGACCAGCTGTAGCAGACGAACAATAACCTGGAAATTACTTTGGCACTTGTAGGAAAATCATCGCAGCGAGCTAAGGGGAACTAACCTGCTGCTTATTTGCAGCTACATTTCTCTTCATAGCTTCGATCTCATTCTCAGTATCACGACGGATTTTGCTTTCAGTGTCCTCTTTAGTTCCAAGGTAAGTCTGCTCGTACTTTTTGAATTCAAGCTCGCGCTCCTAAAAAGTCCTTCAGTTCATTAGGTACTTCTCACAATACTAGGCCCTCGATGGAAGATAATAAAGCACTAAATGGCCATAAGTCGTTAACGAAAGGTTTCAAGGGGACCTCATAAGCGGAGTTCCCTGTCATGATCCCATGGGAGAACTCGGATTCAAATAGCAACATGGAAGTGTTGAACTAACTCAGCAATGGGAAGAGAGCAAAAAAACACGCAGAAAAGGCTCCGAATAAGACCTGTGCTGGTACTAGTAGAGAATGGAAACAAACGACGGGGTGGCGAGAGAGTGCATGATTGATTGAGATCGCACCTCTATTATAACGATGGTTAAACAAAATCCTAACACTACATAGAGGTACGGGTGCGGACTGTCGATGTCGCAGCAGAATTCCGGTGCTTTTATCAAGCACTCTCGAAAAGGGCAAATGAAGTGAACTCCCTGCGATTGGAGACCGCGTCACTTTGAGCAGGGCTTGCTTTCTGCAGCTCGGGCAACGCGGTCCCTGCTTTGAAGCTATCGGGTTGGCCCACAAGTGACAGCGTTGTTTTATAACAAAACCTTCTGTGGGAAAAAAAATTTTACAATGGGTTCAATGCCGTTCGATAAACAATTTCCTAGTCGACGCGATAGTTTGGTCACCTGCAGGACCCGCTGTCCCGGTTGGACGTCGCCACTCGTTCCGATCAAGCAAGTTCTGCCTTGGCATTTACTTCAATGAGGCCGTTGTACACTAAGTTGAAAAAAAAACGCCGTCATTCTAAAACTACCCGACAGAACCACAACTTGCATTTCAGCGGAGCCCCTTATGATGACCTGTTCCCTACAATCGATGAGATTCAAAAAGGATGACTGTTACCTGACGGTATTTCTCTACTTCAGCTTGAGCTTCTTGCTTGGCTTGCTTCATGCGCTGGAATTTTCTCTTCCTAGCATCGTTGATCTTTTCGGCAGCTCTCTTCTCAGCAGCTAACAGCTGTTGAATTCCTTGAGTTTGCGACGCCATTCCTATAGGAGTTGAAGCGAGTAGATCAATAGCGGTTCGCAAATATATACGAGAATTATACGAAAAAGTTAGATAAGAGTTGGCAATGCACCGCAATAGCAGAGATTGAAAATGAACTTGTAAATATTTATTATGACCTCCATCACTTAACGTAGAAGTGCAAGGTAAGGATTAGAGGAAATGGAAAAACTACATACATTCTATTAAGTGAAATGCGATAAAAGGTGAACTAGGATATATCTCACAGCAAAACGAAAAACCCGTTAAGACGGCAAACCGGAAGCTTCGACAATCGTTAAATCAGACATAAATAGAACCGACTATATATGAATCTGATGTTGGCACGTAATTTTATCAAGACAAGATAGGGAACCTCCAACAGACAACTATCAAAAACTCTGAAGTCTCTGAGACTGTGAACCGTGAGTTATCACAAAGAATCTATCCTAAAAATTCACGAAGAACTAACTATAGCAAGAGCGTTTGGAACCTGTAAAAATCATGATCACCATGGTCGAATAAAGGCTAAAAACTCAAGGAATAAAACTACTCCATCATTGGAAGTTACCGTACCTTGAAGGTCTTCACCTCACTGTTATCGAAGTTAGCTTCCAAGACCAATTGCGAACCAGCGACATCATACACAGACGGTTGGCAAACGCTAGAGCAACGAACCAATCCTCTGCATCAACAAATGAAAGAGCGACCTCAAGGCGTACCTGACAACAAAACGGAAGACGTGACTTTCGCCATGTTTCAGAACCGATCTAACAACTTCTTTGTCAATCCACCACTGCTGCCGATTTTCAGGAGGCAACTGAGTCAGCGATGTTACAGCTTCCGAAACCTAAAAAGCAGAAAACTTGCGCCACGTCTGATATTACGTAGAGAACATACTTACCTTAGGTCTGTATTTCAACGTGAGATCAGCAACGCGTTTTTCATCATCAACATTCGTTACTAGTACTTCAAGCGGAATCTGGCACAACCTAAACCCATGCAATATACCTACCAAGATAAAGAGCAGTTCGACGACGTTTGCTACTTCCCATCAACGTGCCCACCCATCTATAGAGCCTTTTTTGAGTTGACAGCTTTTACCATGGCTTGCCGAGCTTGCTCCGCTTCACCAAAGTTCACAGGTTTCACCAGAACGATACTTGCATACCGGAACTAGTGTAGCAGCGAAGGTGTGAAATGCCCCCCCCCACCCGAACTGCACCTCAAGATTATATTTGGCACTATTTACCCCCAACCAGAATTGAGCCAGTTTCTGACCGATTTTTCCGTGGACAGATTTGGCTCAAATGTTGTCTCCTGGGGTATTTTGACCTCCTGAATACGAATATGACATTCGCTTAGCCCGAAACTTCCTGGCGCCCGCGCCACAGGCGCCGGTGATCTGGGGTATTTTGGCGCCAGCGCCTGTAGCGCGGGCGGAGGTTTCAGGCCGAGCGGATGTGATATTCGTGTTCAGGAGGTCAGACTACCCCTGAGAACAAGTTTTCAGCGAATTTGGTGATTTAAGGTATTTTGGCGCCGGCGCCAGGAGGTTTCGTGCCTAGCGGATGTGATATTCATGTTCAGGAGGTCAAACTACCCCAGAGACAAATTTTCAGCAAATTCTGCCGAGTCAGCAAAAAATTGGTCACAAACTTTTCGGAAGATTGGGCAGTAAAGGGTAAATAGTGCCCTTATATTTGAACTATAAATTACCTGTTTAACTCAAAATTGTGTCGTATGGGCCTTATTGGGCGGCAAATGATGTTGAGAGAGGGGGCATCAGAAATTGTACTTTGAAATTGGTCATCATATAGAGAATAGCCTTCTTTAGAGGACCACATATCCGTTCTTGGAAATCTAATCTTAGCGGCTGTGAGAGGTTCGTCGATGAAAGTCTCTCCAACAATAGATGATACCTACAACAGTAAGTTCATATCCTGCAAGTTTAGAAATAAGCATTCAAAACTTACATGACCATCGTTGTTAACAACGCTGGCTTTCCAAAAGATAGCCAGTTGGTAATAATTGTCGACAACGGACTGCGCCTCATCTATGGTCCTCAAGACCGCTGGTAAAGCAGCGGGCCAAGAAGGTGGATCAGCAGGCATGGGGCTCAGGCACCAGCTAGTACCATCCACATCATGCTCTTCCGGTTTCGCTTTGGTTGGTACTGATATTCTTAGGCAAACGTTGCATGATTGCTCACAGTCGAGTTGTACTGAAAAGAAACAAAATGTTATTAAAGATCACTCAGATTGAACTCAAAATTGAGTTCAATTCAGTAAATTTCCAAGAAAACTATATAGGGTCCTGAAGTTTTGCACGAATGGATAATACTCTTGTTCCTTAGTCTAATGAACAGTCTCCTCGATCCAAATCACTGGATACCACAAACTTGGCTTCCGCTCACTGCACCACCATCAGCATGTTGGAGATTAGAAATTGGCCTTTTCGAAAACCCACCCAAGCTGGTATGCGCAAGCTCAAGGATGCCAAATTCTTTTGAGATGCACAGGCAATCGTAGACGGTATTAATCAAGAGGGGTGGAAATTGATCTGAATCTGATTTGGGCACTGCACCACTTGCCGAAAGTCCTTTTTTGCCCAAATGATCAGTTTCTGCTTTGTGAGTTCTGACGTGATCGTACAAGAGCATAGGCTCTCAGAAAGTCCTCCTATGAGACAACTTCCATGGCTTGATAACCTCTCTAATGATGTGTTTTCTTTATTGCATAAGAGGATATAGCTGTTCTGCTGTGGGTTGTGAAAGCGTCTCCTTCTTCTCCAAGGTCGATTACCACGACACTCTTGGCCCTCGTCCATTCGAAAGGCGACAGGTACAAAGCTGGGTCATTCCAAATAGGGTATATGCTGTAAGACGCGACCATCGGAAAGCCATAAGGGCCCCAAATGATAACAGTTCTTTTAAAATTTTATTTTACGCGGGATCACTGAAAAATGTATGACATCTCCTACCTCTCCTATCATAATGGCCGCCAAGTATGTGTGTGTGTGCTGTGCTGTATTCTCCGCTGACGTCTGTCTGTGTAGTCACGAAATTCATCAGACGCCGGTCCCATATAACAGTGTAGACATTGAATATTCAGAGAACTGTGATGTAGGCCTGTGACGGAGGAGGACGAAGAAGGGAGGTCACCATATTCATAACGCGGGTGACAGCAGCAGTGGGACGTTGGTTCCGAGCAGTGAAATAGGGGGTGGGACGAAAACATTATTGGTAGGTGACAGGATGTGATATCAGCTGATAAGATCTGATAATGGGCATTAGAAGGGAAGGACTACCAAATTCACAGTGCGGCTCACAGGAACAGTGGGTCCTTGGATCCGAGAGGTGATATAGGGTGTGGGACGGGAACATCATTGGCGGGGACGATAACAGTTGATAAGATACGATAAGCAGCCTCGGAACGGAAGGGTCATCAAATTCGTATCGCAGGTTACAGCAACAGTGGGGACCTCAGATACGTGAGGTGATATAGGGTGTGGGACGGGAACATATTGGCGGGTGACAGAAAGTGATAACAGTTGATAAGATACGATAAGCGGCTTCGGAAGGGAAGGGTCATCAAATTCGTAACGCAGGTTACAGCAACAGTGGGACCTCGGATCCGAGAGGCGATACAGGGTGATATGATAGTGATACGGGACGGGAGTGTTATTGGCGGGTACGGAAGTGATAGGAGCTAAAAGTGACAAGGTAACATGGGAAAATCCGCTTCACCGCTCACAACAACAATGCGATCGATATGACTCAAGTATAACGATCTCAATGATTCCAACAGAACTCATTCCTCGCTGCTTATTAGTAACGACATCATGTACGACCGCTAAGCTAGCTCTATTCCAAATGCATGGGGTTTGTTTACAGAGATGTTATGAACAGCATCAATTCACTTAATCACGCTTACCACAATTATCTTCCATCAACAACCTTAGTGAGGGCCATTTAACGCGTTCCACTGCTGAATGCGGGAGTGCATTCCAAAGCAAGACGCTTTAAGGACAGAATGCATGAATCATAGGCTGCTTCAGACCTAACAGGCTCCATTATTCCCGTGTAGGTTATGAACGTACCAGTCGGATCGCTGGCTAAGGCTGGCTCCCCTCCTTCTGTGATGCGGGGGGGGGGCTGCTGCTGCTTCTGCGTCTTGACGGAACGAGCGCTGCTTTTCAGTTCTTGGCTGATGCAGAAGATTCCTTTGAACAGTGTGGTTGGTCAACGATCCGTAACTTAGCACGCGGCAAATCCGCATGGCCCGGCGAAGCCGGGCCATGTCTGGTAAGTTATTATATCAGAAAAACGTTCAGAAACAACAAATGCATCTCATACCTTGTCCGACTCGCATTGGCTGAATAGAGACGTTCGTACCATCAAGCTTCACTCCAAAACCCTTTCTCGTTCACATTTTGGCACACAAGACGAACGCGTGAAACTTCGCAGCGAGCAAGAGCTGCATCATTGGAAGGCATCACATTCCGCATGTTGATCGCAGCAATGCCGTGAACCTCGTCTAAAATTGAACAGTTTTTTGGTCAAGCGATGAGCGCACACTCAGAGGCATAGCTCACACTGAAAAAGAGTGCGAATGATAAAAACGCGTTTTCCTGACCATAATGCTACACTGGAAAAACTATAAGAAACCATAAGACGAAGTTCGTTTAGCTTGGTAAGTGGCGCTGTTACCAATGAGGTTTCGGGTCGACCAACCTGCGCGGCCCAATCTGGTGCTGTCGTCTCGTCACCATCCTCTCGTCTTCAGGATACAGTGCAAATTACCACTGTGCAGTGCTCAACAAAGGGGAACACATCTAACTCGTTCGGAAAAGGGTCGCATTTGTTTTGAAGACAGGCTCCGCGCTTGAGCGATTCGTAGGCGCTACTCCTTGTACAAGTACTCTGGTCCTAAGTCTCTAAGACTGTACTTTTTCTTCATCTTCTTCACACTGAGTAAGGAAGGTGCTGTGACTCACATGAGTGACAGTTGTGACGCCTCTCTAGCTGTCCCGCCCACCAAAACTCGAAGGCCGGGTTTCTGTTCCACCGTAATTTTCGCTTCTTTTTTTCCACTGCTAGGTGGTATAAGCATTGGATGACATGAAGAAACGACTAGTTGGTGAGAAACGTAAGAGAGCTTGTCAGGTCCTTACTTATTGTTAGAGTGTTCCATTTTTTTGATTTTTCCTTGGATGGTCCTTCTGGGACTATGTTTTGTGACGAACGTATCGTTTTTTTTTTCGAACGCCACAACATGCAACCGTGGGTTCGTCTTCAATGACGGGGTCCGGAAATCCGCAGATATGGGGACAAGAAAAGGATTCACACACACCTCCCAGCTGACGAGTTATCTCGAAAAATTGCAAGTAAAGGTGAAAAACTTCTTTGAAGTTGAAGAGGAGTTGTGCTGAACAACGAGTTTCCCACATAGCCATGATGTAGCATGCATGTCGTTTAATTAAAAATGGTGCTGGATTTGAGTATAATTTCGTAGAGCGGCATGTTGGAACATTTCAATTCACTATCACAAGCGCGACTCGTCAAACAACTTGAACTTTATAAGCTTCATTATATGACCGCGGGTCGTTTTACTGCTTGCTGCTAGCAAAAAATGGCATATTTCAAGACTGGGAGCATTCATCCAATTAACCAGCACAAACTATGCCTTTAAACGAGTTTTCTAGCAAAAATTACCAAGTAGGACTGCCGAAGCTTCAAACAATGGAACTGGATGCAGTGAGACTACTGTTTGCCATTGACGGTATGTGAGATTTTCACCACGATAGTAAAATACCAAGCCGATGTCCGACTCCATGTCGGGTGATGCCGGTGCCCGAACCGTCACAGTCAACCTAAATGCATGAAGCTAACTCAAAAGGATTTTACCTCTATTACGAAGAGCTTTAACGGTACCATATTTTTTCTCCGGCGAGGATGTGAGCCCTTTCCAATTCGAATGTTCGAAGAGCACAGTTCGTGGGAGCGTAAGTCGACTTTACCGAGGTTCTACGAAATGCGAGCGTTTTATAAAAGTCCCATTTATAGAGAGGGTTTTTATGGGTATTCTAAGTAAGCATTGCAACTTACTTCCTCCCATTTACATCCACCAATGAAACACAGACGCAATCCAAACCATCGGTTGCTAGACAAAATCCGTTCACTAGCTCTTTGCCAATATTTTCGACCTACAGCACGAGTCTTGAATTTTCACATACACAGTAAGATTGAGCTGTACCACCAACTTCAACATTTAGTGTAACAGCTTGTCCACAGTACACTTGAGGTTGGTTTTTCCGAGCAACCCGAAAATCCAAAAGAGGCCACTGCTTCTGCGCTACGTGTATTCGCAAACGCTCATCCACGGCATGTACCACAGACTTCATCTGCAATGCAAAGCCATGCATACCACAATGAATTAGATCATTTCCTATACTTGGTAGCATATTTATTTTACCTGCTTCGGGTTCTTATTCAGTCTTTTCCCTCTAACGTTCATAGGCAGTGTACCGAAGATGAATGACCCGTTGGATCCCGATATATCCAAAAGCAAGCTCCCGACACGAAAACCGTGAACATAGCGGGAGGGACGCACCCACAGCTCAATCTGAAAGCGAAATCGGTAAACTGCACGGAAACCTTACCCATCATGTTGAGTCTCAAGCGGACTAACGAGCTCAGAGATAAAACCTGCCTAATCGCCAAACCAAAATAAATTAGAACTCTCCAACTGATGACCCAAGGGTATAAGAAGCACCAATGTACATGGCGCAACTTTGCCGCGATCGCCACGAAAGCTTTTCAAAACACTGAAACAGCTCCAGCGCTAAGGGAAGGTGGTCAGTATTGGCGAAGATCTCATGCCTTGGTGCTGCCATGCGCTGTCTATGAACTGGATTTTGCAGGAAAAATTTAAGCTGCTTTCATAGTTTGCGGCAGCGGCAACCAGCGACTAGGGAAGTATTGATATCAATCTAGCCAATGCTAATTTATAACAGCTTCTCGAGGGAAGAGGCAAGTATAGGTAACGATCTAGCGCGCGCCAGCGTCCACCAGAATCCAAGAAGAGTAGGGAAGGAAGGTGGCAAACTGCTGGTAGAGTATGGGGAAGCAGGTGTCTGGATAAGGCGTCGTTAAAGTGCGGCGTGTGTAACCGCAACGGATAACTGCCAAAGCACAGAGTTATGCAATTTAATGTACAGAGTTGTGTAGTAACACGGTGCGGTAGCACACACGCCGCAACTTCGCGAAGTTTGATTCAGTCTCCAGATCTTCTCTGCCACCCTCCCTACTTCTCCATACTCCCTGCTCCTGGACGCTGGTGGTCGCTGGCGGACAATGCCGCAAAGTATGAACCAATCCTTAGGAACTAGCATGGCAGCAACACGGCATGGGTTCTCCGTCCAGTCTGATCTACTATCCCGGGCGTTGTAGCTGCTCCAATGTTCTGAGTTTCTTTTCGCATTCCTACGGCTTTTTTTCTGTTTGATCATATCCACATGAATGAACTATATAAAGAAAATCTGCGGCTTTATCTAAAAAGTTTCCGTGTGCGCTGTCGCCTTCGTCTTTGCCATTCTGAATATAAGTGTGCCTTATACCCCAGAAAACAGGGTAAAAGAAGAATGGGAAGCACCACATAAAATCACCTTTTTTGACTCTTCCGGCAAGAACGTAAGAGACGATAGCACTTCCTGTCCATCGAAAGGCTCATTGTTCTCACAGCCTAGGATTCTGGACTTGTGGCTTATACTCTATGTGACCTCACTAAAATCTTACCTTCTTTCATCTGAACATCCACGATACCAAGTCTCACGTTTTGGACAGTCAACGATGTTTTCAGTGGGTTGTGGAGATGAACTTCAACCCGAAATCTTTCATACGGTGGAGTATTTCGTATTCTCTGGTTGTCAGTTTCGTCGTCACTTACAAGATGAGTAGGACGAAAAGCCGCAGAAGAGCCTTCAATAGAGAGATGTACTGTGGGCAGTAGTAAAGGTGGTTCCAAAATATTGTACCGGCTAATGTATGGTAAGCAGCACGTTCAATGTCAACCCATGCAATGTCCTTATGGAGAGGTACATCATCTGACTGTGGCCGTTCCCCACAAATCACCCGTGTAGACTGCACGTCCAGCAAGGGAACAGGCAAAGCAAACGGCTCTGACTGAAAAAAAAACACGTAACACCAAATAATAGAGGCAAAAGGTCGCATCATACCTCACTGCTTGCACCAAAACGTGTCAACGTCTCGATAAAATTGTCAAGAAAAGCAGCATGATTGGTTTCGGTTTGAATTGTGCTTTCTCTCAAAAGTCGAACTGCACAAGCAACTGCCAAAATTTTATCAGATGCTTCAGCTGATAAGATCGTTGATAGGTGGTCCTGAAGAGTTAGGATAAGAACATTTCAGAGCCAAAACTTATGGCAAAGAGGAAACGAAATTTACTTCGATAGAATCCCAATTTGTGTTGGCATATTTACGCAGAGCTTGACTATAGCATTCTGCAATGAGGAATATTTGATTATGAAATAGGGAAGCAAAGGAGCTCATTCTGTGGTAACGTGCTGTTCATGTGTTTACCTAAAGCGTTCTGCTTGAGACCCGCTTTCATAAAACGATTTCCAGCGAGAATCCGATAAAAAGCAGCTTTTCTTGTCATTTTTGCCTCCTCGAAATTCCGAGAAGCATGCGCTTGAGTTACCGCCACGCACATATCATTATCCTATGATTGAACCGTGTATATGAGATCACTGGAATAAGCCTAAAAAGACATCACTAACCAAGCTGGACACTGTTGAAAGAAGAGTTGCAGCCTCCTTGAACATCGATAATTTGCTCAGAACTACAGACGCGTTCAAAGCGCATCGCATTACACTCGTGTACTTGCTTAAAACTGTGAATTAGAAACGAGACTTCAATGTCGAAACCTACTCCATCCAAAACATCATGAAAAGTTCTAACCCTGAGAAGGTGAGTTGGTTTTCAAGCGCTACTTCAAAGTAATGTCGTGGAAACTGCTTCGGCGATATCCTGTTATCGGATAAATACAGTGCAACGGCAGCCATTTCCTGAAACGGAAAGTTACCAATGAGTAAACCGCAGCTGTGAGTAATACGAGTCTCCGAAGTGTAATCCATTTAGGATACAACAATATGCAGCGGCGCGCTTCAGCCCTAACGTTCTGAGGAGCTCGGCACGAGAATCACAAACATTTGCACGGGGAACACTGGACGCCCTTTGCAACAAGGTCTGCAATCCAGAAATGACCTGGTGGGAAGAAAGCGTTACAATCAGGGTACAGCATCGTGATGCGTGAAACGGTAGTGCCAGTACGACCCCCTCGATGGAGGCTCTTGCTATGACCTCCCCCACCTTCCCCCTCGTCTCCCTACCAATTTCCCCACATTTTCCAGTTTTCACCCAGAGATTTTCCGTCGAGGGGAGGGGGTGTATTGCCGGGTGGAACAGGAAAAACTCTCATATTTCCCCCGAGTTCCTACCACTTTTCCGAAATTTTCCTACTTTTCCCCAAAAATTTCGCTGTGGAGCGGGAGGGGGGAATGGGTCAAAAGTACACATGAAACATGAAAAATGAATCACGCGAAAAGGAAAAGTCAACAAACAGGACAAATTTTTCCCAACGCGGCAAATTTCTGTCAACGTCACACACGACCCCCCTCCCCCTCTCCCAACAACGACCGACGAATCCCCCTCCTCAGTCGAAAAGTACGACTCTCTTTTGTATTCATACAACGATGCTGTACCCTGGTTAATAAAGCGGCAGCGGAGGTTTTCCACAGTGACCCTGAAGGATGGACAGTTCGAAACGGCTCTACTGCCTATCTGGGTGTTGTCTCGATGATCGGACTGCTATGTTTCGATATTTTCGGCTGTGCAGAAAAGGATCCTGTCGAAACGTGGGCCAATGAAGCTGAATTCACAACTTCATAGAGTGTTGAAGCAAAGCACCTTACAATCAAAACAATGTCAAGCTTTATGGAAAGCTGTCCATGACCACTACGTTATACGTTTGAATCCTCTTAAATAAGCGCCAATTGGCAGGAGGCACAACATTGATTCGTAAGCCCTCCCCCCCCCTCAGGGACAACTTCTAAAGCACCTGGCACCTTACAACAAGAAATCCTAATGGTCTTGACAAGAAGGAACTAGGGACATGCGGAACTCGGGATCGCTCACAACACAGTTACTGAGCAAGAACACAAAATTCACGACGAAACTCTTTCGAGATCAAAGGTTTGAAC